CTGGGGAAGGTACTGGTGGTTAAAAAAAAAAAAAAAAAAAAAAAAGAACCTCCGGTGTCCATGGGACTGGCAGATAAATACCCCTGGCCAACTGTGCGGAGTTGGTCGGTAGGGTTCTTGTGGCTTGCCAGGGCATTCCAAGCTGTCGTGTTTTGATCATGTTCTCGGTGCATGGTCCCCCCAGCCATTTGGCTGACATTTTTTGATGCCACGTAGAGAGGGGTCCCCTCAAGCAGAGAGTTCAGGAACCCACTACCGGTAGCAAAAGAGGATTGAATTGAACCCCTGACTTCGGACCCGTTTGAGGAGATGTTCAGACAACCGTGATTTATCAGTGTTTCTGCATCTCTGCCTACGGGTAGCAAAAGAGGATTGAATTGAACCCCTGAATTCGGACGTGTTTGAGGAGATGTTCAGACAACCGTGATTGATCAGTGTTTCTGCATCTCTGCATCCGACACATCCAGATTCAGGGCTCGGTCCAGTCCTGTTTGCTACAGTGGGACGTCCCCCCGGATGTTTTTATGTCAGACTGTAGACTAGAAAGACAAATGGCCAGGAATGCAGATAGGCCTATCTAAGTTAGTGAGGCACACAAGTGGCATTTAGGAGGTTTTGGGTTCAATTCCTAGTGGCCTTCTGTGCATTTTTGGGCAACCTTGGTGCCCGCCACCTAAAGATAGGCCGTTGGTCCCCCCGAGCGGCATTCAGCAGATCAGGAGAGACTGCTGATGTTCGTAGGGGGAGGGGACCGGAGGGGAGGCACAAAGACTGGCCGATCGAAGAAGCTCGGTCCTGATACTATCGGCTGACCCCTGACCGGTATCGCCCACCTGCTGTAGCAGGTATCACACCTGCTGGTGGCTGCAACTCCCGCAATCCTGTCTGAACTCGACAGGTAAAAGAATTGGTTGGGCTTCAAAGAAATGCGGACAGATTTTGGATACCTGAGACCTCGCCCCCAGAGTTTTGGCCTGAAAATGGGTCGTTGTGATATCTTCTGTATCGTTCCAGTTGACACGCATATGAGCTTGGCGATCGAACTCCGATGAGTCCACGCAAACTGAGGACGTCCGAATTACTTGCCACTTCGTTTGCCGGACACTCGCGGGCGCGGCACCAAAGAGGCCCGAAGTTTTTTACCCACTCATCAGCTGCCCGGGAGTCGAAGAGGAAGGTGATAAACGGCGAACGTTCATCCCTCCTGGAATGGAAAGTGGAAAGCTCGTCTGCGACGTCGAAAATGAAGTGCGCACTCTTTTTCTCTCTCTCATGCACAACGTGCGCATGCGCCTGGACGCGTGTGGACACACACCCAAGCACAGATAGTTTCGATATACAGAGACCAACTGAGACATAGACGCACCCCCCTCTGCCCCCCCTCGCCCCGCCCCCCCC